CCGCCGCCGCCGCCTCCTCCGCCGCCGCCGCCGCCGCCGCCGCAGCCGCCGCCGCCGCCGCCGCCGCAGCCGCCGCCGCAGCCGCCGCCGCCGCCGCCGCCACAGCCGCCGCAGCCGCCGCCGCCGCAGCAGCCGCAGCCGCCGCCGCCGCCAAGTGTACTCTGCATTGTTTTTTTTGATAGGGATGGTGGGGGGAGGCCGCATCGGGTTGGCTGCGCATGCTCCGAATTTGGAGGCAGAGTGTGTCTTGTATAGTTTTTAACCAGGGATGGTGGGGGGGTGCCCGCATGGTTTTGGGTTGGCTACCAGTCGCCTGGGACAGGGGGTGTTTATGAATAGGGAACAGTGATAAACCCTTCCCCGAAGGAAGAGGGGGTTTTGGAAGAGGAGAAAAAGACATCGTTAGACCACCTGCGCCCAAAGGGCTGGTGGGATTATTAAGTTTCCGGCGCCCCCGCATGGATTCAGAGCGCGATCCGGGTGCGTTGCATTGGGCGGTTTGGGGCTCCCCCCCTCGCGCGGACTTCAACAGTTTACAGTTGGAAGCAGAAAGCAGGACTGTAACATTGGAGACTTGAATTTGCAACTGACGCAGGGAGCAGTAACCTAGTCCTACAGCCTGGAGGCCTCGTCAGGAGGCCGTCGGATAAGGATGTCGAGAACGGCAGCCAGACCATTGATCGACGAGGCAGCAATGGCGCTGAAGCTTCCATTCTGCTCTGGGCATTTTGCGGAATCTCTTGGCGGGCCCTCTGCTCTGCGATGTGCTCGTGGACGGCGGATGGCTTCCAACGCGGCGGGGCGCGCTCGGCCGCCGGCGGACTTTGCGATTTTCGCATCAGGGGCGCTGGGGCGGCTGCGGGAAAGGCTCGCGGCGGAGCGCTCAGCCTCCTTCCGGGAGATCCGTGGAGGTCGGCTGGGGCTCGAAGAGGGTCGCCCGACTGGGGGCGTCGCGTCTCCCGACGAGGTTTTCGCGGAATTCGGCGCGGCCCCTATGGGGGGCCATCGCGGTGGGCGTAGCCTGGGCGCCCGCGGCAACCTGCTCGAGTCGGGTGGGCTCCCGCAGCGGGGGGCGACTCTCCGTGGGCGAGCGGCGGTTCCCGGCGCCAACCTGGCGCATGTCTGGTTTGCCGTCAGCCGTGGCCCGCATGATCCCTCAGCAGAGGCCGCCTCAGATGCTGGGGCCGCAGCGTTCGAGCGTGTCCGACGTCTCTACGCCGCTCGGTCTCTGCAGGGCTCGAAGTCCAGCCCAAGAATTATGCGGCGGAGCCCTCCTGCATCTCGGGGGCCGCGCCGTGGGCCGTCCGCTTCGTGGCTCGCGGCGGCGGGGGGCCCCGCTCGCCGGCGCCTGGCTCTCTTGCGTCTCGCTGTAGGCGGCGCCGCCGCCGGCGATCTCGGCGGAGCTGGCGACCACGCTGGCGGGGTCCTGGGCGGCTGCCTTCGCGCGCCGGCGCCCGCTTCTCGCCCCGCTGGACGCGCTCTTCGGCCTGGACCAGGAGCTCCTGGGTGAACTCCGCCATCTGCCGAGAGCGGCCGCAGGCGAGCTCGCTTTGGCTGCGGCCTCTGCCCCGATGGCCGACTCAAACTCTGCTGCCCCTGTCAGTCCGCTTCTTCCGGCATTCGATGCCTCCCTGCGTCAAAGGGGTCTGAGTGAACGCCCGCGCCCCCCCCTCCACTGCCCGAGACCTGCGGAGGCGCGGCGAGCGGAAGGGCATTCTCGCCTGGAAGGCGCCCCTGGTGCCCATAGACATTCGCCGAGCACCCTTCTTTTCGAGGATGAGGCAGCGGCCTTTACAGACGGGGGTCTTAGAGCGCCCCTCACCCAGAAGGAACTCGCCTTGTTCTGCGAGGGGGTGCAAGTGCGTGGAGGCTCAGGAGGTCTCTCGCGTGCCGTTGCGGCGGCTGGCCTATAATAGCAGGGGCCTGTCGTGAATCTCAGCTGCCCCCCCAACTCGACTCGCGGGATCCCAGGCTGCTGGAATGGTGAGTTTGGGTGGCCTATGAGAGGCACACCTTGCGTTTGTTCCCGGAGCCTCCCCGCGCGACGCCCCCCCCGCGCCGCGCGCCCGGCCGCGCGGAGCGATGCCGAGCCCCGAGGGTTGCAGCGGGCCCGGAAGCTCCCCGAAGTGCGGAGCGGTGCCGCGTGGGCTCTTCGGCGCCTCCTTCTACGCCCGGCGACGCGGCGGGCGGGGGGCGGCGCGGGCCCTTCGAACGACGCCTCGTTTCGGGAGTGGCCTGTAGCAGCCTGGCGAAACGCTCGAGGTGGGCTTTTTTTTCTGCTGTGCACCACCTCCGGCGGCGGGGGCCCCGCTCCCGAAGGGCTGCCTCGCCCGCGCGGCATTCAGATTTCTGTGCCTTCGATTTCCGGGGCAGCTGCCGCCTTGCCCGTGGCCCGTCAACTCAGCTACAGCTGGAGATGCATGTCAACAACGCTGAAGCCGGCTTACGATCGCACGTTGGCCGCACTGCGGCGAGGATTGCTTGAGTGAGTTTGCAGGAAAACAAAAAAAAAGCCCGGGCCCGCGTGATCGAGGGCCGGGCTTTCGCGAAGCTGACCTCGTAGCGCGTGCTGCGCTGAAGAAGGGGTGGGCGGTGCAGGAGGCCGACTGCTCCGCCGCTGGCGCCTGGCGGAGAGCGGAGAGGACTGTCTTCAACGAGCTGTTGCTGTCCTACCCGTGGGAGGCCGCGGCCCAGCGGCGCTGGCGCGACCTAGAACACATCTACCCGCCTGGGGGTCGGGAGTGCAAGGAGTGGCTCGTCCCCGCGCCCTCGCGGGACCTCCTCGGCGCGCGACCACGGCGTCTTGGACCAGCCGGTCGCCGAGGTGGTTCGCGCGCCAAGGGCTGCGTCGGCCAGCCGCTCCCTGGCTCCGAGGACGAGGGCGGGCAGGGCGAGGCTTGGCCGCTCTGGCAGGAGCGCTGCAGGTGCTCGGAGGAGCCTCGGCCGCGGCCCGCAGGCCTCTCGTGGGCTGCGCGCGGGAGAGCCCCCTCCGAGACTCGGCCGCGGCCCGCAGGCCTCTCGTGGGCTGCGCGCGGGAGAGCCCCCTCCGAGATCAACGGCCGCAAGCTGGGGTCCTGCGAGCGCGGCTTCGGCGAGGCCCCGAGCTCGTGGGCGCTGCCAAGAGATGCAGTGATGAGCCTCGCCGTTCCCCCAGGAGAGCCGAGGATGTGTCCTGGGCGCGGCGCGTGGGAGAGCCCCCGCACCACGTCGTGGCCTGCTCGGGTCGGGCCCCTGCTCGGGCGCCCGGGCCCGAGGACTTCCTGCGGGCCTCGCGCCGCGACTTGATGCCGACGGTCTGCGTCCGCTTGGCCGTGGACTTCGCGCTCTTCAGCACTTGGCAGCCCACGACCTTCACACCGATGGATCTCGACGGCACGGGCTTTCGTTCGGGCTGCATCCTGAGGGTCGGCGGAGTTTTACAACAAACTGCATCGATGCTGGGGAGATGGCTGCGACGGTGCTCTCGGTTGGCCAGCCCCTGAACTCGCGCGAGAGTGTGACCCTGTTCGCTACAGCTGCCTCGGCCGTCTTTGTTTCTGCCGTTTCGCTTAATCTTCCCGAGGGCCTCCTATCAGTTGGCACAGTGTCTTATAAAATGACCGCCTGTCACTTTCTCCGCTGCGCTTGTGACACAAGGAGACGAGCGTACACGAAACTCGGTGGCGGAAGGTGGGGACTGGTGGCAACCTCCGTGCCCGCAGGTCCGACGCTCAAAATGATGTCTGCCTGCGCTTGCTCGGCCAGTGCCAGCCGCGGCGCCCCGCACTGCCACGCTGGCGAACGGCCCGGCGTGGGCCGCCACTGCTTTCCGTCGGTGCTGCGTGTTTGCGCAGTCGCCCTGCACGCCGCCTGTGCCCGTCGGGTCTCGGGGCACGACGGGGGGTCCAGGCCAGGGAGGCCCCATGCAGGCCACGCCCGCTCGCCCGAGTGCTTCCCATGCTGCTGCCGTGGTGATGTCGCGGTGGAGTCCTGAGCCTTGAGGGCACGAGGAAGTGTGAGTCCTTGACCCACTGGGTGGAGCCTCGATGTGCGCGATCAGGGGGCTCAAGGGTGCCCGCCCGCCCTGCCCATGTTTTGTCCTTGCTCCCCCTCCTCCAAGGGGTGGTCGCCTTGGCGCCAGCAAACCCGACGCTCGAAATTGCTTCTGCCTGTGCCTGCCAATGCCAGGGCGGCCTGACGCACAAGTCCTGAGTCTTGAGGACAATAGGAAGTGCGAGTCCCTAAGCAGTGCCACTGCTACTTATATCGCTAGTGCCACTGCAAGTGCAACTGCTGCGGGAATTGTTCCCACCAAGAGCACTGTAAACAACCACCAACCACAACAGCGATGACGATGTTGAGATTAACCATAACCTCAGAAACAGTGGTCGCTCTGCTCCAGTAGAAACGATGAATAGCAGTGGTCACTCTCGCATGTTCGTTTTCAACTCACTCCCTCGATTGCCTCTTCGTCTTCGATCGCGCCCGTCTTGGAGGGCCCACTGCTTTTCGGCACAAGCCCTTGCGTATCCGCCGTGGGTGCCCATGCTTCTGCGATGCCTCGCGTCAAAGGGTGGACACGTAAAGCTACCAGCAGCAGGCCTAACGCTCGAGCAGGCCGAGCGGCGGGGGGCGGGCGTGGGGGGGGGGCCTGCGGAAGGTGCGCGGGCGGACCCTGAGGCGGGCGGGCAGGTGGGCCCCAAATGCAAGCTGGCGTGATGACCCCGGCTTGGGGCCCGCCGCGTCCCGTCTCTGAGTTCAGAAGCCAGGGGTGGGGTGGGCGGCTTGGCCATGACCCTGGATGGCGGAAGCATACTTCTAGCTGGCACGCGGCGCGGGTCTGTGCAGCTTCCGCATCATATTCAGCCGGCGTTGCGCTTCTGGGGCGACAAGGCGGCACAGCGTGCTTGCAGCAAGCTGCGCGCTGCGAGCGTAAGGTGATGGAGAAAATGAAACAGTAAATTTCGACTGGATCCGCCTTCTTGTCCTCCCACACCTTCTCCCGACCGTGACCTTTTGGACCCAAGGCTTTTGCCAGGCAGCTGCGCAGCACGAAGTGCTGGCGCCACGCGGCCTTCACATGGCCATGGCGGACACTTCGCCGCCGCTATGCGTCCTGCTGCACGCGAACGGCATGTGCAGAGAGGTGTTCAGGCCTTCTCCCTCTTCGTGGTCATTTGCCTCCTCATCCGCCTCCTCCTCCTCCTCCTCATCCTCCTCCTCTTCCTCCTCTGTCCCTTATCCGTGTATAATTCCACTTTGCCGCCTAGCCAGCCGACAGCGATCCACTCCAGAACCCTCCACCATTCCCATCGAAAACACGGCAAACTTTACACGTGTTCTTTCAACATGGGCGTTCTGTCGGCGACGCTGCCCAATGCGTGGCAGGTTCGGGTCGGCGAAATGTCGCTCTCTCGCGTCAGCCCTGTGCGGACTCCGCTCGGACGTGGCGTTCCCGCTGGGGCGCAGCGCATGTCGCGCTCGCCGATGTGCGCGACATCGGCAGCGGCCGCGGAGCTGCACGAGGGGCTGGCCAGAGGCTGTGCTCGCCCAGCCGCCGCGGAGCCTGCGCGTGGATGCGGCAGCTGCGCGTGCTTCGTCTTTGCCGCGCTCATCGGCGCCTTGGCCGCCCGAGAGGGGACTGAAGCGTGCTCTCGCCGCAGCGCCGCGCAACGCCCGAGATGGGGACTGCAGCGCGCCCTCGCCGCAGCGCCGCGCAGGGACTGTCTTGCAGCTCCGCTTCCGTCCGCGCGCGGGCCGCGCTGCTCTGTCCTTCGCCAGGTCGTCGGAAGCGGCGGGGCCGCGCTCGAGCGCCTGCCCGTTCGCCAGGTGGGAGCGCGTTTCGGTCCCAGTGGCAGGCTGTGCCACCATGGACTCTTTATGCTTCGGGAGAGGGAGGGTGGGAATGGGCGGGGCCCGCTGACTCGCTCGGCCTGGCCACACTTCGACTCCGCATCCTGATCCTTCCCCTCCTCCCCTCCAGCCTTAGTTATGACCAGAGCGATGTCCTCCTCGTGCGCAGAGGTGGTCGCTCGTTCGCCCTCCTCCCCCGTCTTCCTCCTTTCCTCTCCTTTCCCCGTCCCCGGTTCCTCCTCCCTCCTCTTCCTTGCCCCCCTCAGCTGCGGTCACTCACCCCCACTTCTTCCCCTCGCCCTCTCCTCTTGCGCGTCGCTCTGGCGCGCCAGCGCCACGACCCTTCAGAGGTGGCGGCCTGCCCCCGAACGCCTCGAGGTCGACGCGGATTGCCGTGCCCCGCTGCCACGCTCTTCGGGCTGGCTTCTGGTCTCCAGAGTGGCGAGCAGAGCCCGCCCCATCGTCCAGCGGATCGTCGACCCGTGCTTGTGCAAGCCTGTGTGAAGGCATTCCTCGTGCGGTGTTTCTGCCGAGGCACTGCACGCTACTGCATGAGCAGGGAGGGCTGAAGTCGTTCGGATCGAATCCTCCGAGATGGTGGGTAACCTGGAGTGTAGCGCGCAGGTGCCCTTGCTGAGTTGACTCGTCAACTATATTCCAGCACGTACCCCCCGGACACTTCTGCCTTGGAGGTGGGAACATGTCGTCCAGTTTTGCACGGTTTCGCTGTTGAGCCTAGATGGTTCTTGCTTAAGGTGCGCTCTTAAAATCCACTGTCTGGCCTGTGCCGTATGCGTGCCATGGCTGGCTCCACAGCTTGTTGCCCCGACGGGATCGGCAGTAACTAGAATTGTTTGTGTCTATGATCGGTTTCTGCAGTTGGATGCTGACCCTCAGCGCCCTCCTGGCGGCGACGTTTTCGTGCGTTTGGGCTTTGTGACTGTGTGTGTGTTCATAGGCATCAGGGTCAGCAGTCGCTCGGATATGTCGTTTGCTCTCTCGCCTCGACCCTCTGCACGTATGACGCCATGAAGGGGGACATCGGCGTCCCCCCTCACGTTTGCACAACTGCCCCCGCCGCTGCTCGTTTTCGTGCATTCGCTGTTCAGCGATTGCGCGGGGGCGCGTGCGTGACTGGGACTCTTCAGGAGACGTTCGCTCCTCCACCTCTCCAGGTCCGCTTATTCGTCTCCCATTTTCAGTCTCCGCCTCCTCCTCCTCCTCTTCCTCCCCCTCTTCCTCCTCAAATGTGCAAAGGACTCCTGTCCCGATGACACAGCGAACGAGTGCCACTTGGGGAACATGGTCCCTTAGGACACCTCATGCAGCGGATAGACACAGGGCTCCGCGCGATGGGTAAGGGTGCTCTATTTCGAACAGGGGCCGCCCAGCATCGTTATAGCTGTGGCATGCTCACTCGTGGTAGCACTTGTTGAAGACGTATCCGCTGATAGCTCAATTTTGAAAAGATAACGCCCTCCATCCGTTCCCCTGCTGAAAGGGTTTAAGACGAATGTGTGCGGCGCTAAGGCGATGCTCTCATTTTGGAAAGGCACCGCCCTGCATCCGCAAAGCAATTGGGAAGCACCAGCCCTGGGATCTCAGCTAGTAGACAACGCGCGAAGTTCTAGACCCGGCCTGCGGTGGTGCGACAGGGGGAGCCACTCATGAGGACTGGGGGTTGGGATGGGAGGAAGGAAGAGGAGGAGATGAAGGGGAGGAGGGGGGACAGCCGCTGAGCCCTCCCTGCGGAGCTCACGGGTGGAGGCCGCGCCGTGCGTGGAGCTGCTTGCGGTGCGGGCGGCACCGCGCCGCGTGCTCGGGCGAGCCCGGTGCCTGGGGGCCCAGGGTCCTGCACAACCCCTCGGCGGGCAGGCATGTGCAGGGCACGCCGCGAGTGCCTCTCGTGCAGCCCTGGCCTCCACGAGGTCGTGCCCCCTGGTGGCCTGGCAGGCAGCCGGGGGCACGACTCCAGGAGAGCCCGTCCCTGGCCCCTCACCTCGGGGGGTCGCAGCCCCGGCGAGGTGCCAAGCGGGTATTCTCCGATGGCCCTCCCCGGCCGACTCTCGGTGTTGCCCCGAGCGAGAGACCTCTGCCCCTTCCCCCCTCCCTTCGAGTCGTGCCCAACGAGGAGGGGGGGAGAGGAGCGAGGGAGAGAGGCACGCTCACTCCTCCTGCCCCCTCCCCCGCCCCCTTCCCCTTTCCCCCCTTCCCTTCCCCCCTCCCCCCCTCCCCCCTCCAGGCCCTTCGTGGAGGAGTTGTCTGCGCTGCTGCGCCTGCCCCTCGTTGAGGCAGGCGCGCCCCCCCTCCCCCATCGCCCCCCCCCACCGCCGCCGCCTCCGCCTCCCCCTCCCCATTCTTCTTCCTCCCTCGTCCTCCGTGTTATCATCAGGGCGCCTGCGGGTAACTTGCTGGCGTCTCTTGGTCTTGTATCTCTTGTATCCCTCGTCCTCCGTGCTTGGACAACACCAGCGGGGTTTTGGGGGAAGTTTCCAGCCATCCCACCGTGCTGCTCCGTGTAGTCGTCCTCGGCTGGTACACCGTGGTGGTGCACAAGGCACAAGGCCTCTGGTCCCACCAACTTTGTCAAGGCGCCCCCCTGAGCCATATCACTTCCAGCCTCCTTCCTCGCCCTCCATCTCCCCTTCGTCCTCCGCCTTCTCCTTCACACGGGCACACCTCGCGGACGCCTACATCCAGGACAGGATCCGTCCTCCGCTTCCTCCTCCTCCTCATCATTATCCTCCTCCTCTTCCTCTTCCTCTTCCTCTTCCTCTTCCTCCTCCTCCCCTTATGCCAACTTGGCATCGGCAACCACTGCCTGCGACGGCGCCGAGCGCCGCCGCGGGTTGAGGGTGCCTACTCAGGGTCGCGGCTCGTCCCCATACTTTTCATGGGAGTCGGGACCCTTCTCCTCCCATGTGCAGCCGAGCTGCAAAGTCCTTTTGGCTAGTTTTCGGCCTCTGTTCGGATGCTGGACCTCGGTCGTCCCTCGTCCCTCGTGCCTCGTCCCCTTTGCCAGCGTGTTTTTATATGTCTCGCGCATTGGCATACTCCCGAGGCCACGGCCTCACCCGTCTGGTCCCAGCAAGGCCGAGACGCTTGTCCGCAGTGGTGGTCGTTTGTTCGGTCGTTCGTTCGTTCGTTCGTTCTTCCTCCTCCTCCTCCGCCCCTCCGTTGCCATTTTGGCTCAAGATCGGGACAGGCCCGTTTTGAGTGAGGCAGCCCTCCTTCAGGGCTATCCAGCTTTCAGCAGCTGGCGGACAATCTCCCATCCCTCCTGTCATGGCCGATGACGCCCCTCTCGCGTCCCAGGAGCTCCGCGAGCTCGCCGAGGCTGTCGACTCCGTACCGACCTTCCCAAGTCAAGAGACCCCTCCTCGTGCTGCGGGCAAAGGGAAAGGTGCCCTACGCTCTGGTGCTCGCAAGCGTTTCGCTGCCGATGTTCCTGTCGACCCTGGGTCGGACGGACCTGCAGACATGGAAGACGACGATTTCACCTCAGATGAATACCTCAGGCAGGTGTGCCGCGAGGAGTTCCAGCACATGCGTGGCACCATCACCGCCGAGGTCAGCAGCAGCGTGTCCAAGACGGTCGGCGAGAACCAGACCACCCTCCTCACCATGCTCTCCGCCATGCAGGCGGAGGTCGCCAAGCAGGCTACAGCCGTCGAGCAGCAGGTGCAGTCCGCGCTGGCCCCTCGGCTCGATGCCGTCAGCCGTCGCTTCCAGGCGCAGATCGACGATCACACTGCGCAGCTCCTCGCCGCCCAGACCAGGCTCGATCGCCACGGCTCGGATATCGAGTCCCTGCGGGGCCAGATCGCCGAGCTCCGCAAGCAGCTCGCCCTTGCCGCCGCCGCCCCTCGTGACGAGCAACCCCCTCCTTCGTCTTTCGAACGTGCTGAAGACTGCACTATCGTCGTGGCTGTCGCTCAGAAGCCCACCACCCAGGCCAGTATCGTTGCCTCCCCCTGGCCCTGGCTCGAGGGCCTCAACTTCTCCAGCGAGGTCTACCTACTTCATCGTACTTCGTGGTTCTGCTCCTGCCCGCCGATTCGAGGTGCAGTTCAAAGGTCCATCGGGCGCAGCCGCTCGCAAGGCCCGCGCTGCCATCTCAAGTCTTCGTGACCAATCGGGGTGGGAAGAGTTTTGGGTCACGCCGCCTGGTGCTGAAAAGGCGCAGGCTCCATCTGGGCCCAGACAAGTCCCCCAAGCGTATCAAGCAGGAGATCATCCTCCGCAAGGTTCGGATGGCGGTCGAGCTCCAGTGCCCAGGCAGGCGTCTGTTCTCTCACAAGGAGCGGGGCGTCCTCTCTCTGGGGTGGGACAAGCTTATGCAGCTCCAGGTATCTCATGGGGACACGCCGCCCAAGCTCTTCTGGGACATCCCCGTTCTCAACAAGCACGGCATGGACGTCGAGGCTCTCCGCGCCGCCTGCCGCGACATCACGCACCCGTCGGATCCGTCCCAGTGGTCTCTTAGCGCTGCCGCCCTACTCGCCTCCCGCTCCGTCTCCGCCGAGATTCCCACTCTGCGGCTGGCCACGTGGAACGCTAGAGCCCTGCTGCAGGCCGGCGGTGACAAGGCCCGCATTAAGAAGGCTTACTTGAGCAGTATCCGCCCAGGCAGCACTATCATCGCTCTACAGGAGATCCACCAGGATCACCACCAGCTCGTCTCGTTCATTGCGACCGTCGCGAATGACATCTCCGTCTTCTCCAGTTTCGAGCAGGACCCTGTATCGGGTCATATTCGTGGTGGCGTTGCTATTCTGGTTCCCCCTCTCGCGGGCTCCAGCGGCGTGTTACCGACTACAGCGCAGAGGGTGCTCATTCCTGTGCGTGCGCACGTAGTCGCTATTTCGTCGTCTTCTCACTCGGTTGGCATCTTCGACATCCACAACCACGAGCTCTCCCACTCCGACATCCGCCATGCTGTTGTGGCAATTAAGGCCTCGCGACTTCGTGCGTAGGAGGACCCCGACATGTGCGCCACCTTCGTGCTGGGGGACTTCAATTTTGCCGTGCACGACGCGCTGATGCTTGCGCTCCCCGTCGCGGCCATCCGCCGTGGAGACAGGCGGCGCCATGGACAGGAGCCTGGCTGGCGAGAGGCGCTCGCGTGCCTCGCCGAGATCGTGCGCGAGGACCCCTCGCACTTCGAAAAATCATCAGGCTCGTGCTCATCCATCGATCGCATCTTCTGCTCGCTCTCGGGATGGCAGATGTGTCCAGTTCACTCGCAGGTCATTACTGTCGGTACTCCCGAGGCATTGTCAGAGCGCAGGGTCTCGCATCATGCAGCTGTTCTTCTCGCTATGTCCTCTCGTGCGGCTCGCCCCCCCAGTTCCAGACCCATCCAGAAGCGCATCTTTGGGGTGCCTGAGTATCGGCGTCGTCTGGAAGGCCTATGTAGCGCGGTGCTATGGGAATCGTTGTCACCCCCCCGTCAAGCTGGAGAAATACAAAGAGCTCGTGAAGATCGCCGCGGCAGAGACCAGAGATACCCTCTTCCGTCACCGCCCCCATCATCCGACAACGCCCGTGCAGCTCGCTCGGTCGCTCGCAAGGGTTGTTTGGCGCCAGGACCTCTCACTTGCTGCTCGCCTCCTGGATTCCCACCCGCCCGCGGGAGGCTTCATCGCCATTGCTTCGGGGCGTGTCGAGCTCCGCCACCCACCGTCGCCCCAGGCCTGGGTCGACCAGATCCAGAGCGAGGCAGCCGAGATCGCGCGTAAAAGTCTGGAGGCTACTCGCCGTCGGGGTGGGGGTCGATTTCAGACTCGTTGCCAGCTTCGTGCTTTGGAGCGGCCGGGTCGCTTGTGGTCGCCGCTGAATCGCCGCATCTCGCTGTCGGGCGTCGCCGTGGCTGACGGGGGCGTCGTCGCTGACCCCGCCGATCGTCTCCGTGGGCTTTCAGCATATTGGGCGCCAATGTTTCGCAAGAAGTCGTGGGATGCTGCTGCCGCTGACGTCTATCTTCGCCATCGCCCACCTACTGCTCATCATGCGTCGCTGCCGCCGCCGACGAGGGAGATGATTCGACGTGCTATTCGTTCTGCTCGCGACTCGGCCCTTGGTCCAGATGCCCTTCCTTATGCTGCGCGGGCGGCTTCACCCATCAGTATCGACATACTCTGGGAGGCTCTCGAGTGGATCCTCAAGGGCCAGGAGCTCTTCGCCTGTTCGGGGGGCGCGATCCAGATCTTTCTTCCTAAGCATGTCACTGACGCCGAGCTCGCCGACCGAACGTGCATCCGCTCTCCTGACAAAGTTCGGGTCCTGGGGCTTCGGAATTGCGACCTCAAGATCATCTCCGCGGTGGTCAACCACGCCACCCGTCCTGCGCTGCAGGCCCTGGCGCCCCCGTGCCAGCGCGGATTTGTTCCTGGTCGGAACTTCGGGGTCAACGTCCTCGAGCTAGACGTCTCGAGCAGGATCATGTCTGTCACGCCCCATGCCTCGCGCGACATCCCTGTCCTGTTCGCCTTAGATTTCGGCCAGGCCTTCTCCTCCCTCAACCAGGACTTCCTGATGCACTGCCTCGGCCTCGTGGGCCCCCCTGACCCGCTCGCGGAGTTCGCTGCGTCCATCTACTCATCGATCGAAGGGGTCACGTTGCACCGGGGTCAACTCGAGCACGTCTTCTGGATCCAGAGTGGCATTATCCAGGGCTGTCCCCTCTCTGGTACCCTGCGCGCCCTGGGCACTACTGCATTCCTGGTGGACCTGGCTGAGAAGATTGAGGGTCCCCGGCTGGGCCTTATCCGAGCTTGTGCTGGTGATATTGGCGGCGCCATGAGATCCGTCCAGGCCCTCTCCAAGGTCTCCCAATCCATGTCTTGTGCGTCGGCGATGGCTAACTTGGGCCTGAAAGCCGCGAAGTGCAAGGCGGTTCCCCTCTCGGGGCCCTCCTCCGAGGCGCTGGCACGGGATGTTCGGGGCGCTATCGAGCGGGATATTCCTGAGTGGGTCGGTTTCGAGATCACCTCGCAGCTCCTGTATCTAGGCCTCTGGCTAGGCCCCGCTGTATCCCCCACTACCTCGTGGACTAGGCCTTTGTCGAAGCTCCGTTTGAGGGCCCAAGCGACCGGGCGCGGTACCACCCCCGCTAGTCACTCTGCCATCCTCTACAACACTCGGGCGGTGACCGCGTTATCATGCGTCGCTCAGTTCTGCTGGCCCCCGAAGTCCGTCCTTCAGCCTGAGCTGTCGGTGCTCGGGCAGGTCTTCAGGCTCCCGCTCGGCGCGCTGCACCTCGACGCCTGGTCCCAGCTGGACCGCTGGG